CAGGGCCTTGTCGCTCTCAACTCCCTACGGCCAGGCTCGTATGTGTCACGACGTGTCTACAAGCTTAGAGAGGGCGTTAGCTTTCGAAAGCTCGAAGCAGCTTGGAAAGCCACCTTGGACGCGAACCCCGCCTTGAGAACCCGTGTCATACGATCTGTTGGTGACGGCCCAACGTATCAAGTCGTGGTTCGCGACGAGGCGGTTGTTGACATGGCCTATGACTTGACCAAATATCTGGCGGACGACGAGGCAAAGCCGGTAAATCTGGGTACGCCGCTCGTACGAATGGCGATCATATCCAACGCCAGCGGAGAGCCAAACTTTTGCGTCGTTACCATGCATCACTGCATATACGATGCCTGGTCAGCGGCTATCCTGAAGACCCAAGTGAGCGACACGTATCATGGCCACGTTCCAGTCCTTCAAACATTTAGGGAGTTTGTCAAATATGTACTCCAATCTAATAAAAATTCATCCGATCATTGGAGAAGTGAGTTTGCTGGGATACGCGCCGAACAGTTTCCAGCTCTGCCAACGCCCACACATTCCCCAAATACCACGGAATCCGAAAGCCAGCATATATGCCTCCCTCCAAGTGTTGCAACGGCAGCAAATATAACACTCACCACGCGCATACAGCTAGCGTGGGCAATGACTCTAATGGCTTACACCAGCGTGAATGATGTAGTGTTTGGCTTGACGGTTTCTGGCAGGGCAGCGCCCGTGCCGGGGATTGACAAGATTGCTGGTCCCACGATTGCAACATTTCCCTTGAGGGTTCAGTTGAGGTCCTCTTCATCAATTCACGAGGAGCTGGAGACGCTGCAGAAACGTATCATAGAGATGATACAATTTGAACAGTTTGGGGTACAGAACATCAGTCGCCTTGGAGACGACGCGGCCAAGGCGTGCAAGTTCCAAAGCCTCCTCGTCATTCAACAGCGTCAATCATCAGCCGAAAAATCTGGCATCTTCGGTGATACTGGTGCTTTTACGCCCCAGCCAATGTGGAATACATACGCATTGACGATTCTGTCAACCCCCGGCGCCGATAGATGCGTCCGTTTCGAGGCTGTTTACGATGCCACGGTGGTGCCCAAGGCCCAAATGAGACGGATTCTACAAGTTTTTGGCAATGTCTTGAAGCAGACAGTACTGTCGCCGGATAAATTGGTGGGCGACATGGACAGTATCAGCACAGATGACTTGCAGCAAATCGAGTGCTGGAACTCTTCAGCGCCTCCAGCCGTTCCGAGGTGCATCCATGACATGATTCACGACCATTGCGTAGCGCAGCCAGAAGCTAGCGCGATTGACGCATGGGATGGTCAGTTTACCTACAAGCAGCTCGACGATCAGTCGTCACTGTTTTCAGCCGTTCTTAGAGAGAAACGACTGGGTCCAGACATGATGGTTCCTCTTTGCTTTGAAAAGTCGAAATGGGTCGCTGTTGCCATCTTGGCAGTCGCCAAAGCCGGTAGCGCGTTCATACTGTTGGACCCTTCACACCCAACCGAACGGCTGGCGTGGATTTGCAAGAATGCGCAAGCATCAGTGTTGCTATGTTCCAAGGATATGGCTGCGTTGGCGGCGAAGCTCGGCTGTCAACACGTCGTCCAGGTCGATGAGAACAGCAGTCGAGAAAACCAAGCCTCGCTAACTACTCAAGTGCATCATCCCATCCAAGCACTCCCTAGTAATGCCCTATGTGCGCTGTATACCTCGGGGTCAACGGGAACGCCGAAAGGCGTCGTTATCGAGCATTCAGCCTTCGCCACCCAAGTTACCGCGCTTGGACTGCACTTCCATCTGGGTCGCCAGTCACGTATTTTTCAGTTTGCATCCCATGCATTCGACGTCACCGCTGCCGATTATGTGTTTGGACTGGCCCTTGGCGGCTGCGTATGCGTCCCGAATGAAGCGGACAGCCGGGACAACCTAGCCAAAGCCATACGAGATCGTAGAGCAAACTGGACTTTTCTGACACCTTCGGTCGCCCGAACTCTAACACCCTCCGCTGTACCAGATCTCAACACCTTGGTGATTGGTGGCGAGTCTGCAAAGGGAATAGACTTTACGGTTTGGTCAGGCGCCGTGCGGCTCGTCTACGTATATGGTCCTGCTGAGGGGACGGTCTACTGCACTGTGCAGCCCAAGACTCAACCGGGTGCCAATCCGGTGAATATCGGATCGGCAGCTTCTTCCGCATGCTGGCTGGTAGAGCCTGCCAACCCAGAGAAGCTGGTTGCCATTGGGGCGGTTGGCGAGTTGGTGATTGAGGGCCCGATTGTCGGCCGCGGGTACATGGGAGAGGATCTGGGCGGCTCGCCTTTCATTCCGCCGCCAAAGTGGTTGCGTGCCATGCCACGAAGTGAGTCACCAGGCAGGCTATACAGAACTGGAGACTTGATGCGGTACAGTCCAGACGGCGACGGATCGCTAGAGTTTGTTGGTCGGAAGGACAGGCAGGTCAAACTTCGCGGGCAGAGAATGGAGCTTGCGGAGATTGAACATCAAGTTGCGCGGCATTTTCCTGCCACAACGGATGCCATTGTGGAAATCATTGCCCCCGAGAACTCAGACAGTCAGAGGTTACTTGCTGCTTTTATCTGGGATGCCAGCAATGTTGCAGGGAAACGCTCCAGTAACAACCAAGGCACGCTGTCCACGTCTGCCATGTTCGCCGTCCCAGATGAAGAGTTTCAATCTCGGGCATCGATCGCGGAAGTGGCGCTACGGAAGAGCCTACCTCCTTTCATGATCCCTTCGTTATTTGTTCCCCTCAAGCAATTCCCCCTCGGTCCTACCGGCAAAGTAGACCGGCGTCTTATCAAGGACAAGGCGTGCTCACTTTTGCGACGGGAGCTCAACATCTACCGTGGCTTCTGTTCATCTAGAATGAGGCCCCCTTCCAATACGTCAGAAAGTAAAATACACCAGCTGGTTGCAGATGTGCTTGGTCGGGATCGCGGCGACATTGGGATGAACGACGACTTTTTCCAGCTTGGTGGTGACTCGATTAGTGCCATGGTTCTGTCGGCACGGGCTATGGACATGGATCTGAAGTTGTCGGCCGCAGATATTCTAGGCCATCCTCGTCTTTGTGATATGGCCGACCTGGCTATTCAGAAGAGCACGGAGAGATGCTTGCCCACAGAGCAGCTATCGCTACCAGAGCCGTTCTCGTTGCTTCCCGCAAACTATCATCATAACACCTTGATGCAAGAAGTTGTGAAAGGCCGCTAGTAAGTTGATTCAACTATCTAGTTCCTATGCTGTTTTCTATCAAGATGAAGAGGAAAGAAAGTGAATCAACTTTATGAGAGCATAACAGCACTTCTATAGCTTCGATCAATGGAAGGTTCTAGAAGCTCGGCGGCACAGCCGCCGCTCAAGCGGCTTGCCCGTTACATATAGCTGGTCTATGGCGGTCAAACCTCCTGCATCTGTTAGACTGGTGGGTAGAACAGCCTCGGAGTAGAGCCACTGAAAACCATCGCGCACCTTCGTGGTCATGGGCTAGCGTGGACGGACCTGTTTGTCCACGTTTTGCCGTCTCGCAATCTCAATTCCTAGTCTCGGGCATATCAGTGGGAACTCCATCGGACAGCTATACAACAGCAGGCCGTTCTACATTCGCAGCAGGCCATTTTAGCCTGCAACTGGTCGGAAGCTTAACTTCAGGCCAGTACAAGCAGGCAATGCACTGCACGTTATACCCAGACGTTATAGGGATCACGCTTGGTGTTCCAATTTTGTTTTATTTCCTTCCATTACAAACGGCTCGCCACGAGACTCTTCCCCAGTCATCATCGCAACATGCAACCGAAGTGTCCTGTCTCCTACTGGAGCCTGTAATCTGTACGGTTCCGGTAGTGTACCGGCGAGTCGGCTACTGCATTGTAGCGAATGCTGAGGATATTTCGAGGCTTGGACTACAAGTCAATGAGAGTGGATTGGCGAGCAGCCATTCTGGCACAGACAGTAAAGAAATAATAATCATCTGACAGCAGAAAGTTTATAAGCAGCAGCACGGGCATCAGGGGAAGGGCCCTAGAGAAACAGCATCTTATCCGTCTTCTAATATATTACGTTAGACTATCGACATAAAATGCTGCGATCACATACCGCCTAGCTAAAATGCCTCAGTTAAACGTAGATGACCTCCCAAATTGATGTTAGAAACTCAACGCACTGAATGGCATTATTGTCTCGCTTTGAATCACGCTAACAAAACGTAGTAACAACAAGTACATACGTAGCAACAAGCATACACGGGCAGGTGGCGGTCCGCCTCCTCGTCGAGTTTACCTGCTACGTGCGCTGCCTTGAGCAGCCTAACGCAGGTCGGGTATATATAACTTATAAGAGTAGGTTATAACTTATAAGGTAGTTTATTAAGTAGACTAATAGGTAATTTATTGGTCGAAGCTAGCTTTATTTAGTTCCTATAGGCGCGCTATAGTTACTTACTAGGCTGCCCTACCTTTTATTACTTATATCTAGATGCGTTCATAATATTAAGCTTCTAGCTAACTGGCTGGTTAACTGGTTAGTTAACCATCTACATAGTTAACTAAATACTCTATCTGCTAGTCCAGACTTGTGTTTTTGCTATGTTGTGAGTCTGTTGGAGGCTCTAACACGTTATTTTATATCAAAATTCTTCACTATAACACGTCTTAAGCCACTAACAGGCTCATAACATGTCAAAAATACATGTTGCAACTTAATACGATTTTTAGCTATGTCCAAAAACACCCCCAACGCGCCTAGGTATTGAGGCCGGCGCGATCTGGGGGCTTCCTGGGTAAGGTTAGACAACTTGTCGGCAGCAACAAACAGTAAGCCAGCGCTATAGGTACATACCCGAGACTGCTTATACAATTCAAAAAAAATAAATGCAGCATCCGATATCATCCGGCGTCAACATTACTATTTACAGTTTACGGAGTACTATGTACCAGAATATGCCCTGCAGCATGGCAGCCAGAGATTGATTACTGCACAGAAGGCTCAACATCGTACTCGACATCTGTCCTAATAATGTATTTAGCACCCTTTGTGACGCTGGTGCCTTCGTGGAGCAGTGCTCCCTTGGTCTCGCCGTGCGGGAACAGCGCGACACCTCCCATCACCGGCCGAACAGGATACGCATTGAGCGTTCCTTCGTGCGGAGAGGGCAGGAAGAACATGGTTTCGCCCCCCTCGAACTCGTCATTAAGGTACAGCAAGAACGTGAAGAGCGAGCTCTGCTTTCTTCCGGTCGGCGAATTGTCATAGATGTATCGGTCATCAGCACTGATGCCGGATGGTGGCCAGGCACCATCGATATGACTTCGGTATTCGGCCCCGGGGACGTATCGGTATACTCGGAAACGGCGATTGAGGCCCCTTGACTGTTTTCCATCGATGACCTGAGGAATAAATGGAGATACGCGGGCCCAGAGCTTGTCGTGGAAAGCCGTGTCGATGATCCAGTAAAAGTTGTGCGCCAGAATGGACGTGTCGCCTCGATCCCGCACCGGCTCGTCTGGCAAGAACTCGACGGCTTCGCCAGCCGCAATTATTGCCTTGCATTCGTCAGGGGTGAGGACGTCTTTGAGAAGGCTTAGATTTGGCACATTCGGGTGCTTGTGATGTGTTATGGACGAGTGGTCGGGGGAGAGCGGTATCGTATCGAGCTGTGTTGTGTATAGAATCGCTGGATGATGATTCGGTGGTTTCCGCAGGTGGCCGGGAACCGTTTCTAAAATTCGCAGCGACGACGTGATGGTATCTTGATTTTCGGAAAAGATGGACTTGTCGAGAACGGACGCGTACACCGGATCAGGCGTGCTGGATGCGCGCAAGTCCCAATTCGGCTGGAAAGAAATGTGCGCGCTGGGGTCGGACGGCAGCGGCGCCTTCATATCGACCGCGCAGCTGACTCGCATCACGGCGTCCAACACGGTGAGCAGGATCTTTTCTTGTTCGGATCGCTCGGGGCTGTCGAGACTGACGCCGTTTGGTTGGGACACCACGTCGAGGTCGCGCACCCAGCGGCAAAGCGCACCGAGCTTGGGCTCTTCCTTGCGCAGCCGCATCTCGGCGAGAAGGATTTTCGCCTCGAGGTATTTCTGGTCGCTGAGCGCCGCGGTGACTCTGGCCGTGAGATTGGCGCCCTCTGCAGAGGATGTGAGTACTTCTCTCGGTCGCAATTTGGCTCGCTTGCGGCTACATACCGGCTGAGTTGACACCCGTGGTGCAAGACTGGCGGAAGTCGTAAACGGCAACACGAAGATCTCTGCAGAGCTTCGATTTGGTCAAGTTGGGATACTTGGCGAGCGTCGCGAGAGTATCTGTCGCAATGTCCAGCTCTTCCTCTGAAATGACAGTGTGCAGACTTTTCGGCTCAAAGTCGTCGACGGAGGAAGCTGGCACAGAAGCCTCTACTTTGGCCATCTTTTGTGCTTGCTGCGCCTTCGCATTTCGCTTTCTCTTTGAGGGCTTATTCTGTGCCATGATATTTGTTGCTGGTGATGACCAGTTCTTTACCTTGGTATTACCCTTGTTACGTAGTGCCAGACTTGTTAGGCCGAGATCAGGCGGGGTGGCGGATTACTAAGTAGTTTATGGCTACACAAGGGTTAGGGTTATCTCAAGTCGTACTATAATAGTAGTGGCCGTTGGTATTCTTCATCTTCGTCCTATTCTTTATCCTCTTTTTATGGTAATGTTTTTAATATCCCCTATATATTCTTTCTAACAAAGAAGGATGTAGAGAATGTACACGAGGGATACTATAGAAAGGTCGGATTGAACTCTACTTCTCGCCTCTTCCTAGATCGACCCCGAGTGTAACGGGCAAGCCGCTTGAGCGGCGGCTGTGCCGCCGAGCTT